GCTGAGTGACTTGTGATGAGCCAGTGGTGAGCAAAAGGGCAGTGACACCTGCCTTAGTGAAGTGCGAGCGACAGGTGACTGGGGAACCTGTGCTGTCCTCATCAAACCGGTTCTGTAGCGGGGTTTCAGTTGATAACCGTTGCTGGCTAGCTGCCACTAGTCTCACTGCCTTCCAATCCCAGCTCTCCAAGCTGCTGTTGGGATTCTGTGACTGACCCAAAAAAAAAAATCCGCTCAATAAATTCCCTTGTGTTTCTGAAGTGGTTTTTGTTACTTGTTATTATTTGTTACTTCTCTGTGAGTCAAGCTTTCCAGCACCCTTCCCATGAGACACGGACTTCTCATCTCTAGAATCTCAGATGTCCCCTCTTCCTGGAAGCCTTCCCTGATTACCTGGGTCAGGCTAGGTGCCTCCCTCTGGCTTCCTAGAGTCTCCGGGTGTCCCCTTCCAAGTAACTTTGCCCATTTTAGGGCAGCGGAGGGTTTTCTTCTCCATTAGACTGTAGGTGCATGGATAATGGATAAGAGAGAGAAGGTTTGGAAGCCATGGACTGATTGACCTTAAAATAAATGGAGTCTGAAACCCTCCCGAGTCAATGAGAGTGCTGGAGAAGAGTCAGCAGCTTGCTTGAAACCAGTGGTTACATTATTTTTTGAGAAGCGGCAAGAGGAAAGGCGAGGCAGGCAGGGGAGGTCCCTGACTGCTGAAAACACCCCAAAGGATTTTACGTATCTGGCCCTAAGAGCTGGTGACCGGACCGTGGGCAGGTCGGGTGCATGAATAGCTGAGAATCGCGGTGTAGGACTCCATTTCTGATGGAGGAGGTGACCCTGGGTGGGAATATCTGAGGGTGGAGGGGGCCCAGGTTCCTCAGTTAATAGGGCAGGGGCAGGTCGTCGGGTTGAGACCACCCTTCCCCAGAGCCACAATGCCTCCTGGTGGCTTTGCTGGTCTCCCTCACACACCGGAGGATTGAAGGATCAGGATTTAATTTATTTCAGCTTTGTCACCCACTTCCAGCCCCAAGGCTCCCTTCCTCCGGTCCAGGTGCCCTGCCATGCAGAAGAAAAGGGTGTTAGAGGTTTCACGCACTCACTCACTCACTCACTCACTCACTCATTTATCTGCTTTCTTAATTCAGGATTTCCCTGCGTGACCCAGGATGTCTTGGAACTCACTGGCCTTAAACTCTACCTCTGCCTCCCGAGTGCTGGGATTAAGGGAGTATGCCACCAGCACCCTGCTTATTTATTTTTAATAAAAATAGTTTCTTTTTAATTAGTGTGTATGCGTGGGTATGTGCACATGTGTGCAATTCCTGAAGACGACAGAAGAGGGCGATAGATAGAAAGCAATTATCAGCCACCTACCATAGGTGCTGGGAACTGAAACTCGGTCCTGGGCAAATGCAGGGCCCACTCTTAACTGTTGGGACTCTCCCTCCCAAACCTCGTTTGTTTGTTGTTGTTTAAAGACAGAAGGTCAGCAAGACAGCTTAGCAGGAATGGCCTGCAGACCTGATGACTGGAGTCCACTCCCATGGTGGAAGGGGAGAATGGACTTCTAGAAGTTGTCCTTTAACCACCTACATACACCATGGCACATGCCATACCCCCACCAAGGGAATACATAAATGCAATTGTAATTTTTTTTTAAAGGTAAATCTCATGTAGCCCAGGCTGACCTGATTATGTAGCTGAGGATGACCCTGAGCCTCCTACCTTCATCTTCCGAGTGCTAAGATTACAATCACTTGTCACCACTCAGTTTACCAAGTGCCAAGGATTGAACCCAGGACTTTGAGGCAGACAAACGCTCAACCAAAAACCACATCGCTAGACTCCCTCCCCTTCTTTATTTTGAGACAGGGTCTTGAATCCCTGATGATAACTGTGTCAGATCCAGTCACATAGGACAGAGAGTAGTCGGGGGAAGCAAGGTAGACTCACCTGGCCTCTGGGTGTTGGGCACTACCGAGGTCCACAGGGCCAGCTGGAGGATGCTTTCCCTCTCAGGAGCTTCTGCCACGGAGAGAGTCACAGGGGGAGGGGTGTTGGTTTCATGGGAGTCAGTCTTTTCCCTCTGCCCACTCCCCAGACCCTGAGGTCTCAATGCGACATGAAGGGCCTGTACTTACTCTGTGGCCCCCTCCCTGGCCTGGGGCCTGGAGGTGACTTCCCACAGAACCGACGCCATTTTGGGGAGAGGAAGTGGAGGTCGGAGTCTGGGCAGGGCGAGGGGTGCCTGAAAGGAAGGGATTAGGGAACGGTTCATGGGCTGGTGATTGTATAAAGGCGCGTGCTGCCAGACCTCATAACCTGAGCTCCATCACCAGGGCCCACGAGGTGGAAGGAGAAAACTTACTCCTGCAAGTTGTCTTCTGACCTCCACAATGTGCTGAGACAGAAGCAAGCCTGAGCGCATGTGCACGTGTACACACACACACAGACAATTAAGAATAAAAATACAATGTAAACAAAAGAAAACAAAATCAAGCAGGGTAGTGGCGGTGCACGCCTTTAATCCCAGTCTCCAGGAGGCAGAGGCAGGCAGATCTGAGTTTGAGGCCAGCCTGGTCTACAGAGTGACTTCCAGGATAGCCAGGGCTCCACAGAGAAACCCTGTCTCGAAAACCAACCAACCAATCAACCAAACCAAAACCAGAACCAACCCAGTATAAACAAACAAATCTCACATCTTTTCTTCTACATGGAAGAAATGTCCTAGATTGGTCTGGCAAGACAGCTCAGCAGTAAAACATGCTTGTCCAGCCCGATGACCTGGAGTCAGTCCTCAGAACCCGAGGTGGAAAGAGAGAATTGACTCCTGGGTCATTCTCTGGACTCCACTCGGCATCCGAGAGCTGTGCACACACATCTCAAGCACACTCACGGTAATAGTAAATTTTAAATGAAAACAGATGTCTCCCAGGTGAGCTGCCTGTAGTGGTGTACACTTGAAATCCCTGGAGTAGAAGCAGGAGGATCAGGAATTCAAGGTCAGTCTTGGCTATATAGATACTTGATGCAGCCCGGGCTATAAGAGGCCCTGTCTCAAAATGTGTCCCCCAACAAACAAACAAACAATAAAACAAAAACACCACCACTAGTAACCAAAGCTCCCGGGCTGGAGAGCCGGCTCAGGGGTTAAGAGCAATGGTTGCTTTTCCTGAGGGCCTTGCTCCCAGAAGCTCACGATCATCTGTAACTCCGGTTTCAGGGGATCTGACGCTCCCTTCTGGCCTTTGTGGGCACTGCACACATGTGGTGCGTGACATCCATGTAAACAAACATATTCATAAAGTTAAAAAATAAACAAACGAGCTGGGCACTGGTGGTGCACACCTTTAATCCCAATACTTGGGAGGCAGAGGCAGGCTGATCTTTTGAGTTTGAGGCTAGCTTGGTCTACAGAGTGAGTTCCAGGACAGTTGGGGCTACACAGAGAAACCCTATCTCAAAAACAAACAAACAAACAAACAAAAAACAAAACAAACAACAATAACAAAATCTCAAAAAACCAAAACGAAACAAAAACAAAAAATTGGGAGGTTATCCTTGGCTACATAGCCAGTTTGAGGCAAGCCTGACCTACAATAAGGCCCTGTCTCAAAAATACTTATATACTCACGCCACAAACATTTCTGGATCACTGTTCTAGGCTTTGAGGACACAGCCATGAATGAGAAAAACAGCTCTGCTCCTGCAGAGCTGACATACATGGAGAAATAAAGAGAACAGTTCTCGCAGTGCTGGGGGTGAGGTGGGGGACAGTTGGGATCGACAGGCCGCTTCCAAGTAAGGAAATCGCTCAGGTGTTCCAGGCCTTTCAAGTAAAGGAGAGTAGTTGACCAGATAGAGGAGGGCAACTGCAAAGGCCTCTGGGTAACTGGAATGACAGACCAGAAAGGGGCAGGGGCTCTAAGCTAGGAGGGGCGGGGCTTGTTGACTATTGGAAAGGCAAGGCTTGGTGGGTAGCCTAGATCCATAAATAACAGGACGAGGGTGTGTATGTGTGTGGGTGCTCTGTGGTGGTGGCGGCGGTCTACAGAGTGATTTCTAGAACAGCCAGGGCTACACAAAGAAACCCTGTCTTGTAAAAAACAAAAACAAAAACAAAAAAAACCCACAAAATCTAACCAAACAACCAAAAAAGAAAAAAAGAAAAGCAGGAGTGGGAAGCTGAGGCAAGAGCATCTTGAGTTCAGATACAGCTCTAGCAAGGTCCTACACACAAAAGGACTGTACACGAGTCTCCATTACGATAGCTATGAGCCTGAATGCAGACCATCTCATCCAGGGCCGGTGGTAGGGACAGGTACCGCACAGACCGCACAGACCGCAGAACAGGTACTTTAAAGGCTCGGTCAACTGCAGCCCGAGATCTGGTTCCCAGTTCTAAATCCATCTCCTATGAGTTTGGTCTCTCAGTGTTTCCTCTGGATACTGGGATCATAGCGGTACTCACCTTACTAGGCTGTCCCAATAATGGTGTATGTGAAGAAGCCATGTCCCCCTTTAAAAGGGAAGGAGGGGCTTTGGGCATGGTTCAGTGGTAATACGTGCCTGGAAGCCACCAGAGAAGGGCTGGGGTGCAGCTCAGTGGAGTACTCATCTAAAATGTATGAGACTCTGGGTTCAATCCTTAGAACCTCAAAATAAAGATGGGAGGGGTGCTGGAGAGATGGCCCGATGACTTGGAGCAAGATTAAGTTCCCCATATCACACCCCCATACCACAGTCCTCTGTAACACCAGTTCCAGGGGATCTGCTGCCCTCTTCTGGCCTTTGTAGACACTGCAGACACCTTTATGCACATAGTACCCAGCATGCATCAGGCTTACACGCATACACATAAGCGAAAGATGCCAAACATGGTGGTACAGGCCTTTGATCCTTGGGAATACACAGGCAGGAGGAGCTCTGTGAGTTCTAAACCATCCTGATCTACAGAGCGAGTTCCAGGCGGGGCTATATAAAATTAAATAGTGGGGCTGGAGAGATGGTTCAGTGGTTAAAAGCACTAAGTAGACCAGGCTGGCCTCTAACTCACAGAAATCTGCCTGTATCTGCCTTCCAAGTGCTGGGATTAGAAACCTGTGCCACCACATCCTGACTAAAACTAAATAAATATGATGGTGGTGGTGCTGAGGAGGAGAAGGAGGACGAGGAAGAGGAAGGGTGGGTGAAGGACCTAACAATGCCAAGAACCTTTGAACTGCTCTCAAAAGTACAGTCACCTTTCTGGTAAGGGGTGTGCCCAAGGCTTTCTCTCCCCTGGTGTGTTTGGGAGAAGGAAGGAGTAGGAGTTCACAGGAATGTGTAGAAGGCAGAGGAACTCTCATGCCAGGCAGAGGGCGCGGCCCAGGCCAAGGTGCACCCGTGTGGCTGGAGGTGACCAGCAGGCTGCCGTCCTGGCTCTGGCCCCTCTTTGTCCTCGGGGAGCCAGCTGAGTGCCTCTTAATGTTTCCATTTGTCTTTGGCCACGGGTCCAGATCTGTTTTTAGCTTCCCTCCCCGGGTGCTCCGGCCCCCCTTCCTGCTGGCTCTCTCTCCTTGCTGTGGTAGAAAAATGTTCCCGGATTTCCTGAGCTGTTTGAAGTCAGCTGGGTATTGATCGAAGCCAGTGTGTGCTCAGCTAGATGACAGGGACGATCTCAGAAGGCCCAGGGGTGGGAAGACAATACAAAATAGTTCGTCTGAGAAATTAACATGTGGGAGCTGGACTGAGGAATGTGTTGTTCACCCCAGGACTCAGGAAGCTGAGGCAGGAGGATGGAAAGTTTAAGCCAGCCTGGATGTCATTCTAATAACCTACTTTCAAAAGGAGAGCAAAGAAGAGGAGGGAGGAAAAGGAAGAGGAGGAGGAAGGGGAGAAAGAGGAAGAGGAGGAAGGGGAGGAGGAACAGAGAGAAGGAGCAGGACAGAGAAGCAGAAGGAGGAAGGGGAGGAGGGAGAGGAGAGAGAAGTGGGAAGAGCATAACAGGAAGGGGGAAGTAAAGGTGGAAGAGAAGAAAAGAAAATAGAGGAGGGCTGGATCGATGGTTCAGCAGTTAAGAGCACTGGCTGCTCTTGCAGAGGACCCAGGTTCAATTCCCAGCACCAACATGACAGCTCACAACCATCTGTAACTGTAACTCCAGTTCTGGATCTGATCTTTGATTCTGGCCTCTATGGGTACTCTGTGTTCACGGTGCCCAGAAATACATGCAGGCTAAACACTTATCTACACAAAATGTTTTTTAAAAATTAAAAATAGGCCGGGTGTGGAGGCACACGCCTTTAATCCCAGCACTTGGGCAGCAGAGGCAGAAGGATCTCTGAGTTCAAGGCCAGCCTAGTTTACAGAGTGGGTTCCAGTACAATCAGGGGTACACAGAGAATCACCCTCAAAAAAGAGAAAGTGAGGATGGCATCTTAACATTGGTGTTGAATATGAGCCCATTCCTGTGACCCACCCCAGTGTGGCCACGTGAGGGTGAAGTGAGACCCCAGCCACCCACCTCAGACCTCACTCACCAGTGTTAGCCAGCCTTTGTCTTGGGGTCTCTGAGGGAATGGATCTTCAGGGGGCAGTGGGGGAGCAGAGGGAGTCACCTAGAGGAGACAGAGGGGGCAGATTATGGAGTATGCTCACACCTACACATGTGCTTTTACTAGGGGCCAGCAGGAGCTGGCTCTGCAGACTCTACAGACAACAGGTTCAGGATCTCCCCTCAGGCCAGACAGTCAGGGAAAGCTAGGGCAGCCAGGCCCAAACATAGAAACGTTAGCGTCTAACAATCCTGTTCTAGACCCTCCTCCCTCACACCCAGAGTCCAGGTCCCAGCCCCCCTCCCTCAGACCCAGATGTAGAAAGTCTAGCCTCCTCCCTCAGATGCAGGACTTCAGTATCAGCCCTCCTCCCTCAGACTTGGGGAACAAGGGTTCCAGGTCCTGCCTGTCCCTGCTCACCGGCCCCAGTTTCCACTCGGCAGCCTCTTGGTGACAGCTGTCTCCTGAGTCACCTGCAGCAGTCCTGACCTCCGCTGACTTCTCTTGTGCCTGAGAGATACTCACGGCTTGGCGGCCTTTGATCTCACAACGGCAGAAGGGACAGGTCTGGCTGTCTGAGTGCTGGGGACAAAGAAGAAAAATGTCACTCACCCTGTTGTCTCCTGTGTCCCTTCTGACTTCAAATGACCTCCGACAAGGGAGGTAGGGGATGGCAGGGGAGAGCCGAGCTCTGAGATGGGAGAGGGGGAGGGGGAGGCTGGTGGCAGGTTGTGATGGGGGCTGGTATACTCTGAATCCAGGAGGGACCCTCAGGCTAGGGCCTAGCCCAGCAGAGCAGCTAAGGCCTTTGCTGTAGGCTCTGTGGGACTGGCCTCACATTGAGTCTCAGACATAGTATCTTAAGGTCTATTATTTGAGGTCCAGTAAGGAAAAGCCATTGAGTCTACACGGCCTGTGCAAGGGAGAAAAGGAATCCTTCCTAAAATTCATTAAGCAGCTCAGGGAGCCGTGGAGGGAGGACTTGGCCTGAGATGGCTACAGAGACAACACTGCAGAGAGCTGGGGCCCTGATGGCCTGACCGGACCTGTGTTCTCTCTGGAACCCTGTTTCCTCATCTGCTCAATGGGTCCCCTGGGAAATCTAGATGGGGCTTTTAGGGTAGGGATGGTGAGGCGGGGTGGGGCAGAGGGCAGATGGCAGCCCCACCTGCCAGGCAGCCAGGCAGCAGCTGCAGAGAAGATGCCCACAGGGCTCGATCCTCACGTCCTTGTCCCTCTCGGCACAGATCTTGCACAGCTCGAACGTGGAGTTCATGGCTTGGTAGAGCTGCACTTGCTCCTGGGAGAAGAAATGGACAGGGGGTGTGGCTGTGGAGGCTGCGTCCCAAAATCTGTGCCAGTCTGCATACTCTCCCAAGTTCAAGGCTGGGGCTGGGAATCAGCAGGCTTGGTAGAGGGTTTGCCTAATGCTCAGGACATCTTGGGTTCTAGCACCAGCCCCATATCAATCAGATGTGTCTGCACAGGTCTGTAATCTTAGCACTGGGGGGTGGGAGGGGCAGAGGACACGCAGGAGGGTCACCTTCAGTTACTTAGGAACATGGAGGCCAGCCTGGGGTTCATAAAACCTTGCCTCCAAACCAAACCAAACCAAACCAAACCAAACCAAACCAAACCAAACCACTACCAACAAAACACAACCTCTCACAGAAAACCGACAACCAAGTTAAGTACTTCCAGGACTCTCATAGGTATCTGCATTTCTCTATCTTTTCTGGCCACAGGATCTTTGTAGCCCAGAGGCAGGTCTTTTTTGTTTGTTTGTTTGTTTGTTTTTGTTTTTGTTTTTGTTTTTCGAGACAGGGTTTCTCTGTATAGCCCTGGCTGTCCTGGAACTCACTCTGTAGACCAGGCTGACCTCAAATCCGCATATCTCTGCCTCCCAAGTGCTGGGATTAAAGGCGTGTGCCACCACCGCCCAGCTGAGGCAGGTCTTACTTAACCTACCCAGCAGTGGAATTACAGCCAAGTGTCACCAACAGGCCAAGCACGTCTTCAACCCTGGACAAGACACTTGTTTTCTGGATTCCTCGTCTTGGGAATTGGTGCTTTTTAGTATTTAGTTTTAAAGATTCTTTTGTTTTTATTCTATGCACACACACACACACACACACGTGTGTGTGTCTGTGTGTGTGTGTCTGTGTGTATGTGTGTGTGCAACTGCTTGTGTGCCTGTGTACTATGTGGCTGTCTGGTGCTCTTGGATGTCAGAGTAGGGCATTGAAGCCCCTGGACTGGAGTTACAGGTTGTAATGGTTTGAATATGCTTGGCCTAGGGAGTGGCACTATTTGGAGGTGTGGCCTTGTTGGAGAAAGTGCGTAGTATGGGTGTGGGCTTTTAGACTTTCCTCCTAGCTCCCTGGAAACCAGTATTCTCCTGTTTGCCTTCTGAACAAGATGTAGAACTCTCAGCTCTTCCTGCACCATGTCTGCCTGGATGCTGCCATGCTTCTGCCTTGATGATAGTGGACTGAACCTCTGAACCTGTAAGCCAGCCCCAGCTAAATGTTGTCCTTATAAGAGTTGCATTGGTCATGGTGTCTATTCACAGCAGTAAAACCCCAACTAAGACACAGGTGATGCCGCCAGGTGGGTGCTGGGAACTGAACCTGGGTCCCCTGCAAGAACAGAAAATGCACTTGATCACTGAGCCATCCCAGAACAACTAGATTTAGCAAATATAGCATGCCCCGTCCCACTTGAATTTCAGATAAACAGTATGAAGTAGAAGGGGCTGGAGAGATGGGCTCGCTGTGAAGAACCTGTACTGTTCTCACAGAGGACCTGAGTCCCAGTATGTATATATGCAGAGCTCACAATCCAGTTGTACTTCAGCTCCAGGGGGATCTGACACCTCTGGCCATCAAGGACACCTGCTCACAAGCGTAAATCCACACATAGACAGATATATTCATACATCATTAAATAAAAATAGGTGTTGGAGAGGATGGCTCAGTGGTTAAGAGTCATGGCTGCTCTTCCAAAGGATCCAGGTTCGATTCCCAGAGCCCATATGGCAGTACAAAGCCATCCATACAACTTAAGTCCAGGGGATCCGACACCCTCTTCTGGCTTCTGTGGACACTACACACAGATGAGGCACATACATACAGGCAAATACTCATACACATAAAATAATTTTTTAAAATAATTTTTTAAATATTTACAATATATTTTAAAAGTTATATGAAGTTGGGAAGTGGTGGCACATGTCTTTAATCCCAGCACTCTGGAGGCTGAGGGAGGTGGACCTCTCTGAGTTCAAGACCAGTCTGGTTTACAGAGCAAGTTCCAGGACAGCCAGGTATATACATAAAATCTGCCTCTATCTATCTATCTATCTATCTATCTATCTATCTATCTATCTATCTAGAGAAAGAGAGAAAGAGAGAGAGAGAATGAGAGAGAGAGAGAGAGAAAGAGAGAGAGAGAGAGAGAAGAGAAAGGGTATCTTAAATGTAGAATGGGATATACTTAGGCTAAAAGAAATTCATGGTGTAAAAGGCTGAGGCAGGAGGATTGGGAGCTCCAGGTTCAGCTACATAGAAAGTCCTTGTACCTCAAGGGCCAGACACTGAGGTGCACACCTTTGATACCAGACACTGAGGTGCACACCTTTGACACCAGCAGTTAGGAACCAGCAGGAGACAGATTTTATAAATTCAAGGCCAGCCAGGTAGACCATTACCTAACAAGTTTCAGAACAGCCAGGGTTAGCTACTAAGGGAGATCTTGTCTCAAGATAACAACAACAACAACAACAACACGGGGAAAATCCCACAAGAACCAAGAACTAAATGTCAGTAGTACTCTGTATACATCTGTACCATGGTGCCCTATGGAGGTCAGAGGATGACTCAGTTCTCTCTTCCCAACTTGGAGTTCCTGGGAGCTGAACTGGTGACATCAGGCTTGGGCGCACTGCCTATAGTGAGTACTCTTGTTATTGTCCAGCCTTTTGCAGTATAGTCAATAAAGCTATTTTCTTATTTAAAAAAAAA